GAGAAAATTAAGGAAGCATTTATTAAATGTATATTCAACCCATTTCGTTTAAAGTGATAAAGGTCTAGTAGTAGAAATTCCCCACAATTATATGAATACACTTTACATTTCCATTAAATTCCGCATAGCTTTGATGGAGTTTAGATTTCGCCTAGGTCTTATTAGAATCCCCAACGGGACTCGAACAATGAAAGTGTAGAGTATAATCTCGACACGTTAAACACTCCTACGCATTGCCAGAGTGCCCTTGGACCACAGGCCAAAGGTGAATTTCAAGCAAGGCTAGGCATTTTCTCATATCACATTCTGTGTTGAGATTGTTGATGAATAAAACTATTATTTGCTATAGCAATCGACTACACTACTTACTTTTTTATTTATAAGTAGTCTAAAATGCAGTACACCTTGGATGATAGTACCTTTTGGGAGTCAAAGCTATGTGGAATTTACTAAAAAAAGTGAGACCTATCCATATGATTGTGGGAAAACTGAACTTATGCTCCATGCTCTTAAGCTAACTAGAATGAATAGAGTTTTTATCCAAGGTCTTTTTGTTGTCTCGAAGGCCTAGTTAAAAAAATAATTTTTGTTGGAGTACTTTTCGTTTCAGTTGAAGAGTCTAGTAGAGTGGATCCGTTATTCGGCCCCACCGGAAACTGAAGAAGGATTGTCTTGGCGCAATGCCTGCAGATTTGTGCCGAGAAGTCCTGGGCTCACCGCCCTATGATCCTGATGAACCTGTGCTATGTGACAGACATAGTCAGAGCAGGAAAAAAAGTCATATGATAATTTGCCAAGCACGAAGACAAAATCTTCTATGTCTTGACTATAAATTGGAACCCCCAGCAGAAATCGAAGCATACACGTGTGAATTAAGGGGCAGAAAGGCTTCCCTCTAAGCTGGATCAATCTAGCTACGTCTAATGAAGAGATGGACATAACTTTGAAGGCAAAGCAGGTCTCATCATTTCACATCGTTTTTGAAGAAATTTTATTTCGATATGCAACTGCATAATTGTCAATATAAGTTGATATACAATTGACTTTGTTGATAGTGACAGTTTTTCGCTGTGATCAGGAGCTCAAATTTTGTCAGGACGTTCTAGTTCCGATTTGGCTATTTCTTGTACATCGTCGGCAGATTATTTGCCGGTCGAATATGATAATCATTTGGAATCAGTTCACCTCGACAATTTTCGTAGCCTTTGGTAAAGTGGGCCATGAAATCAGCCATTCGGCACCACTACTCTTGGGCACTGGGAGGCTATTTTTATGCATCTACCAATCGGCCAAGCATGCTGGCATCTCTTTCACGGACCGGCCGTTTCGAAGTAACTTCATACATTCATGGGAACCCGGTTCCAGTGACAGCCTGGCCTATATATGCCTTCTGTCCATCATACAACGTCGAGTGGTTGTCTGTGGGAGACTCCCATTCCTCGAGGTAATCATGACTCCGGAGGGTAGTTGCAGACTCACATGTAGGTGTGTGTGCACAAGTTGAGCAGGTCTACGCAGCTCCAAGACTCATTTAAGTAATGACGATGAATTAGACTTACTATGCACTCTGTATGATGCTGTACCATTCAGTCCTAACGATTGGTATGTCTGGAGTGATGACATCGAGAGAGTATATTTTGATGGATTGTGTTTTTGATGCCGACGTCATTAAGCGGGCGAGCTGATTGGACTTTATTCTATCAGCATGTCTCGACGACTGCCCGAAAACGGCCAGCATCACAGACATGATAATAGCCCAAAATCGTATATGCTGTTGCGGCGGAGAATTGATGTCGAAGAGGGGAGTACGACTATCGCCAGAATGAAGCCAACTGCCCCGCTGGTCATAAAGCTGTTGACTGGCCCGGGACGTTTCAAAGCTATGGTCGACTGGAAATGGAAGCATTCGTATGAGTGCGCGTTTTTCAATTTGAGTATTTTCCGATAGTATCAGTAATTCTTGAATAAAAACTGTATCACACTATACAGGAATTGTGTTAACCCTATTTCGTTTAAGGTGACGAGGGACTGGTAGTACAATTTTC